TAATCTTGCTTTTAGCTTGGATTAGAGTTTCTATTGTGAATGTATCTTGAGGTAAAAGTATCAAATTTGATGAACACGGATTCATCGCTGATAAGGCTACCTTGAGGTAGAATTCACCTCAAAGTATCATCCATTCCCCATGAAATCATTTTCAAGGTTGATTTAACCTTGAGCATTTACCTCAAGGTACATTGATGTATACGGGTTTTAAGTGATAATACTGCCTGGAGGTAGGATTTACCTCAAGGTAGCGATGATGAATACGGCCACAGGTCCCTCTTCAGCAAAGCCAGCGACGTGGGTTCGGAAGAGCGGGCCTTTAGCTCACAGACAACCAGAAGATTTGCGGGGTTAATTAGTAGCAGGCGGGCTGTAAGCATTATTTGTTTAAACGTGCCCGTATGAAGTTTGACGGATGCAAAAAATACGTTTTTTGTCAAGCCAATTTCAAGCCATCTTTCGAAAATAATCATATTGTGGTTTTTTCCTAGCTACAGCTCTTGATTAGAGTTGATCTCGTTTAAGGGTTTATTGAAAGCAACTGGTATGGCTAAGCGAATTGCAACTTTCCAAATGGGAAAAGCATTGAAAGCAAACTCCGAAGGACATTTGGTACTCTCTCAGATTGAAGCAACACTATGGACGCTGCCTTCAATTTTGCAGAAACGGGAATCAGCTCGGAGCAAGAAGGAGATGCTGCAGTGTTGTGAAGCCTGATCTTCAAACACATGCCACTTGATGCCAGAAGGAAATTTAATCAGAGCCTAGGACAAAATCTTGCCAACATATTACTCAGCACGACTTGGGAAAGTTTTGGAACAGATTCGAAAAAGAATAAATGCTTCTATCGAAGATAAAAGCAAATGAATTGAAAGTGATCTAGAAAATCTCATACCGCGAAGAAAAAGCCACGCTGACCCCGCCTATTAACGTGGTTGCTCTGAAGATGTCACAAATTTGATAATCATATTGAAGGGAGGATCTATGACGGATACAGCAGTCGATGGGCGGAGCCAGCATGGCTGCTACTACCTTCTGGAGCGCTTTTCTCGCTTTGAAATTCATTTATTGCAGCGAGACTTGGCCAGTTACTTACAATAGAACCATGTTAGTTTTTAGTCAAAATGGTCTTCTTAAATGAAATGTATACCATTTGGGGAGCATAAAACGCTGATTTCACATCTGCCTTCTTTACATGTGGAACACTTGGACGAGAATTTGACTTTTTATTGGAAAAGTTGCTCTAAAAATGGGACAAAAAGTGTCACGATATGTTTTCTAGCGCTTTAATGAGCACTGATAACCATCAGACCACCCCACCAATGATTACTCTTACAAGAAAGGATACTTTGTCGAAGAGGCGTTTCCATACGAATGTATTAGGTTGTGTAATAAGTTCTGTCCCATTTTTTGATTTCGTTTTTTCTCTACAGCTTCTGCTGTGATTGACAAATTATGCATATACAGGGTGTCCCAAAAAAATGTATCGAACATTTGAACGTTAATATCTCTCTTCTAAAGAAGTCTTTTCTCTTGCTTCAGGTACCAATCTGTAGAGCTGGCCTCAACTTAGATTTGCATTATAGAACGAATCACCCACCTTTCTTCATTACTGTAGGATTACGGTAGAAACTTCAAAGAAGGTTTTAAGCAAAGAAAAGCCATATTTTGCCTCAGAAAGGAAACAAAACAGTCTGAAAACTCTTACACTAGGCTAATTAGAGTTGATAATTATAACTGTAAAGTTCCCAATTTATTATGATGCTTCATTGAAGAGTTGTGCCAGGTAAGAGGTAGCGGCCTTTTTTTCAATGTTCCTAAAAAGTGCTGTTACACCGTTTAGAAAGCTTCGTAATCCTGTGAATAGTTGAGTATTGAACTCAGCGTCCATAAAAACCCTATTACACAAGTTTTCACAATTTTTTGAAAAATTTTGAAACGGCAGCTTTTTCCACAATGACACCATATGTTTCAAGTTTCTACCGTAATCCCACAGTAATGAAGAGAGTTGGGTGATTCGTTCTATAAAGCAAATCTAAGTTGAAGCCAGCTCTACAAAACGGTACCTGAAGCAAGGCAAAAGACTTCTTGGGAAGAGAGATATTAACGATCAAACGTTCGATACATTTTTTGGGACACCCTGTATTTCAGAAAGCTTTCAGTTTCCTCTACTCATTTTTATACCTCGTTTGTGCGTTTGAGAAAATCTACAAAAATTTTGTTCCTAAGACAGAAATTCCAAATAAGCCAAAAATCCATTTTCGACAACTATATTCAAAGTAGATTCCAAATAGGTAAGCAAACTTCGAAACATTTGAAAAGAATTACGGACGATTGGAAAGATTGCCATGGCTCTCGCAAACTGCCCAAAACTTCTGTAAAATTCAAAAATTCATTTTGTACCCTCAGTATGGATTTCTTTTTGATGTCTATTCAACATCAATGTTAGGTATCTGGAGAAAATCCTGAGAGGCGACAGTATAAGGACAATCCGGGAATTGACAAAAGGGATGTTTGCTTACACAAAATCACCGAGTTATTTGTTACTTTACTGAAATCCGACGTTTAAGGGACACACAAGATAAGTACTCGAGACGACGAACGCCATCACGAAAAAGCTTTGTTCCGCCGATTTTCAAGAGTACTGCATTGAGCAGTGAGTGAAAGGGAGAGAGCAAGCATAAACAGTAACACTACCGTATAGATGACAATTCTATTGTCTAGCTTTTTGTTTCGTTTTTAAGTAGACTTTATCAATGAAAAATTAGAGGAAGTGGAAAGAAATAAGGTGTCGGAAATGGGTTTTTTTGCCTTTTTGGATTTTTCGTTTTGGAGACAAAAATTTTTTGTAACTTTCTCAGACCGGACAAACGGGGTACAAAAATGAGTAGAGAATGCTGAGAGCTTTCTGATGCAGATGCATACTTACAATTGCAGCACAAACTTTAGAGAAAAAACGGAGGGGGCAGAACTTACTACACAATTCAAAATATTATCTTACAAAGCAAGGAACGCGATTTTCAAAACTGCTTCTGGTATCTGCAATCTGCAACTGGGTGGGTTATGTTAATTTTTTGCAGCAAAAAGTCGAACACGCGGTTAAATATTGAATTATTTAGAATTGTAGTCTGTGAGCTGAAATGATGCGATAATTACTGCCAGAGCCCTTAATGCAGTCAATAACTCTAACTTCAGCGTAAAAAGCTGGTTAATCATTATTCCCCTCATGCGCGAGAAAGACTTCAAACCCTTTTTTTACCACAAGATCGAGATTTTGCCTGAAAATTTCTATAACTCCGCTACCAAAGGTTTGGAATCAGCATTCCATGCTCTTTAAGATGGTATACATTTCATATGGAAACTCCACTTCGAACAAGTATCCTTCCCCTGTTGAATAAAAAAATATATCACACTTGCTTTATTTGAGGGCTAGGAACAGGAAGGAAATATTAACAGTCCATTTCATCCTAATTCATTTTATCCTATATGCACATTCACTTTTTTGCTTAAGGCTCCCGCCAGAGTGCCGAAGTTATGCCAGCGCTACGCCAGCATTTCGATCGATACACGTGTATTTCGTTGGGGCGGGGCTAGCTCAGCAGGTAGGATGTCCCCAACGAAATACACGTGATCGATCGAAATGCTGGCGTAGCGCTGGCATAACTTCGGCACTCTGGCGGGAGCCTAAAGGCAGTGGCTCGGCATATCTCAACCTAGTCAAATTTCCGCTTACCTGGGGTTATTCAATACGCTGATCCCGAAAATCCACTTTTGAAAGCTTGAAAACGGCGAAAATAAGCGTTTTCATTGCCTTTCCCTTTGGAATTGGAGAGTGGCGCAAGGCCGATGACGCTAAATCGTTGCAGGACCCAATGGTTATAGCGTTGCGGCGGGCAGCCTCCAATGGTGAAAAGGAAGTTGCCAACTCGTCCAGATGCGTGTAAGATTTGCCAGCGCGTGTAAGGTTGAGAGCGATTCTCTCGGCAGGGAAAGCATGCTGTGCAACCGCGATTGCACTGTTTACATAGTTGGGCGATAAGAAACCTACCGCGTTAAAATCCGGAGTTGTTGGATTTTGCCAATCCGCTGCCTTTAAGCAGAAGCTACTAAATCCTCGTCCATAGACATTCCGCGGCAAATTTGAAATTAGCATTTCATACCCACCATTATGGTATACATTCCATCCACAAAGGCCACTTCGACTAAACACACTTACCTTGTAATTACGAGCCCCGCTATCACATAACATCAAAGTCTCATCACCCTACTTTGCTTCCAACATTGCACGCTTCCCTACTGTGCTTGCTACGTCACAACGTATTTGGTGGGATTTGGAAGAGCGGGCACGGAGCTGAGGCACCAATGAAAACGTAGCAGGATTTTTCTTTCCTTTTCTTGAACAAGCTTCTCGTTTCAGATTCATCCTTTTCAGTGACAACTCAAAAAGTACCCGCTAAAAATCTTAGCGCTGTAGTTCAGAGATCTAACTACTACTTAACAGTATTAGGCAATGCTTTCAAGACTTCGATATCTTAAACTTTTGCAAAATGGACACTGTTTTCAACTATAGGTTCGCAGGTTAACTACCAAGCACGTTGCTTCAAAAACCAAAGTTAGAGCAAGCCCTTTGGAAAATTCTGCAATGGAAGTAAAGCAAGTGTGAGCATCCTATGTTTTACGTGATTGACACCTCGTCATGGAAGAGTGATATTCAACTCGTGGCTGATTTGTTCATCATTCCAGACACCCTATACATCGTCATCCAGCAGAATTGTCAAATCTATGCTGTTGGCAGCTAATTAGTTCTTGAGAATGGTCAATTTAACTACTGTAAAGCTGAATAGATGGATTGCAAATGTTCGCTCAATAAATTTGTGCCTATCTCGAATGTTTGAAGCCGACCACATTTGTACTTTTCTTCCAACAACTTTGGAGTCTTAGCTATGAAGAAGCCTCATCTCCTGCAATTGAAGCTTTTGAACTCTTCTAGAAGTGCTCACTATCGCATTCTTCGCGGTGTTGCAGAGGCTTTGATCACACAAACATACGACATGAAATCCATTATTGAACCAATAAACTCCACATAAGGGCAGTCCTTTCTGAAAGTTATCGGTCTTTCTGAAGCGAGTAACATGTTCGAAATTATGAAAAAACTCATTGTTATTTTCATTATTCAAAACTCGATCCGCGAAACTTTCTTTTTGAGTGATCTTATAGTTGAAGTTAAGGAGCAAACAAGCACATTCAAAGTCAAAGAATGTCTCCACTGAATACGTTTCATTGAAGTTTTCACACTTACTCGATATGCATCATGCTTCTAAGTTTTTGCTTCAAAAATTCTTCACAAAAAAACTATACTTCCCAGGTATCGCTTTCTTAAAGTGATAAAATGTAAACTGCAATAAGATCAAGTGTTAATTGCGACACAAGATACATGCTGCTTCATATGTATCGAGAAAGTATACAGGAATAGTATCGTCCTCTTCACGATTGTTGCTATCCTTGCTGTGGGGGACTAATTTGAGGTAGGGATCGGATCATGACCAGGTCGACCAAAAGATATGGCAAACAACCGCCTGATACAACCCACTCCTCCCAGTTCCATCTCAATACCCCTCCTCCGCTCCCAACATCATTATTTGCTTACGTAAGCGTAGCATAGCATAAAGGCTCTACCGAGCATAATTGGTAACATGTTCGTAATTATCATGTTAAATAACCCCTGTAGGCCAAGTTCTAGCGAATTTATTCTGAGAGTTCCTAACATTAGGCCACTTCAGTGAAGTGGATTAGCTACTTCCTTTTGCACTCAGTGCAGAACACTACTGAATCCTGCTTCGATTAACCATCATACTGTGGAATTACAATCACATTTGTTCCATTTTTCGCTTTTAGTGGTTGTGCTTCTAGCAACTAGTGCTCAAACAAAAGTACCCATCAGTTATAATCATTTCTACGAAAACTACGAGATGTTGGCGATCGGACTGTTTATATTTTGTTTGCTAAAATTCTCTTTGGAGGTAAGTTAATGGGGTGGGGCACAACCTCAGAAAAGCTGCGGCTGCCATATTTTCTGGAGTTGTGCCACACCCTTAACTACCTTCAAAGCATTCAAGTATTTGTGCCTGTATCTTTTCTACTGCTAAGTCTTCTTCTCTACACAGCAGGAATTTCGTTCAAAATCGTTTGCCCTAGAAAAAGACAAAGTCGTTTTTCCTTAACTATGCTGTTGGAAAATACTGAGAATACTATATAAATAAACTAGCTGGCTTACCCGGCTCCGCCGTATCCGGACCAAACTTGGCACACATACACTTCGGGCCCCGGCGGGTGCCACAGTCCACTTTTCGTTATCGATCGATGTCGATTTTACCGATTTTTATCGATTTTTTTGCAGAGTTCACCTACAGGGCTAGGAGTTGGCACAGGGGGTAATCGAGCATGGGGATTCCGAATACAATATTGGTTTTCAGGATTACCGATTATTTTTATTGATTTTATCGATTTTTTGTAAATTTTGACATGCGAGGCTGGGATTTTGCACAGGGGGGTAATCGAGCATGCTGATTACGAACACAATATTAGTTTTCAGGATCGTCCATTACTTTTATCGATTTTATCGATTTTTTTGTAAAGTTTGACCTGCGGGGCTGGGAGTTTGCACAGGGGGTAATCGAGCATGCAGATTACGAATACAATATTAGTTTTCAAGATCGTCCATTACTTTTATCAATTTTATCGATTTTTTGAAAATTTGAGCCAGGGGGCTGGAATTTGGCACAGGGGTGTAATCGAGCATGCTGATCACCCCCCTTGGGGGTGATCAGCATGCTCGATTACCCCCCTGTGCCAACTCCCAGCCCCCTAGCTCAAACTTTGCAAAAAAATCGATAAAATCGATAAAAGTAATCGATAATCCCGAAAACCAATATTGTATTCGGAATCCCCATGCTCGATTACCCCCCTGTGCGAACTCCCAGCCCCTTAGCTCAAACTTTGCAAAAAAATCGATAAAATCGATAAAAGTAATCGATAATCCTGAAAACCAATATTGTATTCGGAATCCCCATGCTCGATTACCCCCCTGTGCCAACTCCCAGCCCCGTAGCTCAAACTTTGCAAAAAAATCGATAAAATCGATAAAAGTAATCGATAATCCTGAAAACCAATACTGTATTCGGAATCCCCATGCTCGATTACCCCCCTGTGCCAACTCCCAGCCCCGTAGGTGAACTCAGCAAAAAAATCGATAAAAATCGATAAAATCGATATCGATCGATACGAAAAGTAGCCTATGACACCCGCCGGGGCCCGAAGTGTATGTGTGCCAAGTTTGGTCCCGATCGGTTCAGAAATGGAATTTTCTATTCGGAACATACGTACAGACATACAGACATACAGACATACATACATACATACATACAAACAGACATTCAGCTTTATATATAAGATACTGATACTGAAAATACTGAAAAATTGAGTTACGGTAACATGCCAAGTCTGTGCAGTGACTCGGAGAAAGACGGAAGTATGTTGAAAGGCGCGCGTTTCGGCAGTCGTCATTGTCAGGAGGGATTTGTGCTCTACAAAAGCGAGGTTTCCAAATTCCTAAAGTTTTGTCATCATATGGCAAACAAGCTGGCTTACTTGGCTCCGCCCGGACCTGTCAAAACACTATGATATAAAGCTCCCATCCCTATCCCTGTACAACCTTTCCCTGTGCTTACTTCTACATACAACCTCCAACTCCCTGTTCCCACTGTTTTAGTTATCAGCATGCTCACTTATCCCTGTGCGAATTTCCAGCCTCGTAGCTCAAAATTTACAAAAAAATGATAAAATTGAAGAAAGTAAAGGATAATGTCAAGAACTAATATTGTATTCGTAATCAGCATGCTCGACTACCCCCCCCCCCTGTGCCAGCTCCCAGCCCCGTAGGTCGAACTTTGCAAAAAAATCGATAAAAGATACCGATCGATGACGAAAAGTAGCATATGACACCCGCCCGGCCACGAAGTTATGTGCAAAGTTTGGTCCGGATCGGTTCAGAAATAAAATTTTCTATTTGGAACATACGTACACACATACAGACATACAGACAGACATACAGACATAAAGGCTGCTGCATGATGAAGGCGCAGCAGCAGTATCAGTTGAGCGGGCTCGAACGCGATGCGCGCGTATCTTCACCGCTTTAAATCCGGCGCATCCTGCGCTCTGCGGCTAATAAAGCCGCGTTCGAGCCCAGTAATATTGTGCCTTTTCATGCAGCAGCTTATACATATAAACAGACATTCAGCTTTATATATAAGATAGTAACAGAGGATTACAGTTGAATTCCGGAGGTACTAAACCAATTTCGAACTTTTTTCCTAGTTTTCTGATCGCTCCATTCGACTGTCCCTCCTCGGCCTGCGGCAGGCTAACTTGTTGGCAACAAGTAACATCATGTTGACCTCAAGGCTAGCAACTACCACTTTGTCCCTATGCTGTTAGATGTTGCCAACATGTTACCATGCCTACCGTAGATAAAAACGCAGTAAGGGTAACTGCAATCGTAAAGTGGATGGTACTTGGAAAACACGAGTTACCAGAGGAAACAAGTGATTTTATCCCTCATGGACAGAATTGAGTGTTAGAAGTTGAACAACATAAACATCGTAATGCATAAGGCACATACTGTGCCAACAACCAAAATTTAGTGACTGTACGAACTTCCACAAGCCACTGTGCCGCAGATCATAGGCGCAAAAACAGTTCATATCGGAGATAAAATGCAAAAAATACATTAGAAAGATAGAAAAAAGCTGACATCTTCAGAGCAAACAAAGCAATCTTTAAGCATCTAATAATTAAATCTTCTTGAATTTTCTTTCTTTTATTGGGTCGGTTCAGTCGTTTTGGAATTTATAGACCCGCAAAATCAGTACCTTCAAACTGTATCCGATAAAAAATTTCTTCCTTTTTCCATGTCATATGCTCAATCTGATTCGCTGAGAGAGTCTTGAGATAGTTTTGAACATCACAATCCTTCGTTTGTACCAAGTTTGCTCTTCGAATTTTCAGAATTTTTAACTGAGACTTTTGAGGACTCTTCAGTAGCCAGTAGATAGGACAAATCTTTTGCCAGTTGAAGCGATTTTTTGTACTTTATGGCCTGCCTTTCAGAATTTTTGATATTAATCCCTCTAAGCTTCTTTCCTCGGCGAGATGAGGGTTCACTTCGTGATGTTAGTGATAGTATTAGAACTATGCGGCCGAAAACTCGAGAAGAATCGTAACTCGGTGTCTAAGAATCCTACAAAAATTTTTACTCGCTCACGTAAACACTATCTACATAAGACATCTATATACGCCTTTGCCGTATTTTTCCCCTGTTAAAAATCAAAAAAACGGAAATTTTCGTGCATTTGCCAAAGTGATGCTGTGCCGTCCCCACATAGGTAGTTGTATACCACAAGCCTGTAGAAGTACTTGAATTTTCTCTACAAGCTTGTGGTACACAACTACCTATGTGGGGACGGCACAGCATCACTTTGGCAAATGCACGAAAATTTCCGTTTTCTTGATTTCTAACAGACAAAAAAAAAACCGGCGAAGGCGTGTATAGATGTGTGGATAGTATTTACGTGAGCAAGTAAGAATTTTTGTAGGATTTTTATGAACTGAGTTACGATTTTTTTCGATTTTTCGGGCTGCTGAGTCTTTTTAGTTTTTAAGTCGAAACTCGAAAGGATGAGAGCTGTTGCAAAAGCAAGATAGCCATCCTGTAGGGCTTGTTTTGCTCTATCGAATGGGTACTTTGCAACCTATCTAGAAATGAGAAGTGTATGACTTATTGCGGTTGAAATTCAAAACGGGCACTAATTTCCGGACAACCTAATAATAATCGAATGCAGAAACGCCACTTTTTTGAAGATTTTGCTGTGTTTGGCGCATAACGGGTCGTGCTATTTTTTCAAAACACAAAATTTTCGTAAAATTGCATAAGAGTGGCTTAAAAGAAGAAAGAGAAATTTTTTAGCTGGGCAAACGTCCGTCCCATCGCTGACTATTAGAGCGCCGTTAAAAGTTTTAAACAAAAAGTTTGAAATTTAGCGAAAGTTGGACATGATGAAAACAAGGTTTGTAAATTCGAGTGCTTACTTTCTCTCTCAACAAATCACGCTGGGAATATAGCAGTTGGAGAGAGGAAGAAATTCCGCATAGGAGTTTGTCTTGTTTATCTTTATTTCAAAGTACTTGCCGGCGCACTCAGAAAACGACAAAACTTTTGCACCGACCTAGCATGTTTAACCAAATAAAATGGTCCTAAATTTCTTGTTTCAAAACTTCCAATTTGAACGCACCATTCGATCCGGGGTGGAGGACTATATGTCGCCGAATTTGGAAGAGTCCCGCGCGGATTCCCTGCAGGAACGCATGTCCGCGCATGTATAAGGATGCGTATTTGTCGCAAATGACCGCGGGGACCGCCCTTTTTCGGCGACATATAGTCCTCTACCCTTCGATCCGATATCCCCGTTTGAGTGATATTTTCCGGCTCCGTACAGGCTGCTTCTCTATATGACGCCGTCAACAGGCAGGTCGTTGCCTGAAGTAATATCCGCAGCAGAAGCTAATTCATGTCAAAGTGGTGTATTTGGTGTATTGTTGGCACATTGCTATTTCACAATGCTGACTTTGCGGCCAAGTGCCGTCAACAGTTCTTGAGAAGAGACCGAAGGACAAATTTCAAGGTTGATAAATCTCCTCTACAACGATGACTCAAATTATCGGTAGAAGGACTCACTAAGGGCCGCATGCATAAACAGTTTTTGCTCAAGAGGACGCAACTTAAAAAGTGGGTTTATAATATAAAAGATTTGGAATTTACGATGTCCATCCATTATTTGTAGCCCTTCGATACAGACACATGAAACGGAAGCGCCTTTGCATAACTGCGATGACACCTAGCGGTCAATCTCTAATTCAAAGACATTTTTCTTTTATAATTCAGGTAAGTTTTTGGAAGCTCTAAACTAGAAAATTTGTTAGCGCCTAAAAAGTTGCGCATTTCACGATTTCGCAAAAATAACGGTTTTCGGAAAAATTATCTCAAGAAATAATGTATAGCAGGTTGAAGAGACCAAAATAGGATTGTTTTGCATTTTGTTTGTTCTAACTGCTGCCAAAGCTATTCTAATGAAAATGGAAATTTTGAATTAGTTGAATTCAGGAAGGGTAACTATCATGGGTAGGAGATTCTGACGACTATTCGAGCGGACATCAAAGCACTCTGAACAAAAACGTCATTTATCGTAGGAGGAAAAACTTCTGCATCGAACACTCTTTAGAGCGTCTGTGTATCTTATTCAAAATGGTTTGAGCATGGGTCTGATTGTGAGAAACGGCACGGCTCTTCGAATCGACCAATACTAGAGTGATTTCGTTGAATTTACACACAGGTTTTAGAAAAATACTTCTTCGCAATCTTGACGCTTTCAGAACGCAACTTCCTTGAAGTCTTTTTTTCTTAGGAAACATGCGAGTTCTTCAACAATCATCATGACTTATAATAAAGCGTTAAACGACTGTGTTTTTCTGCGTGTGTGTGTTTGTCTGTCTGTCACGAATTTCATAGAGGTGGCTACAGTCAAGCTATCGAGCTACAATTTTGCATAGCATACCGTACCAGCATGTAGGCCCACTATGCACAAGGAAGACCGGTTCGATAAGCGGATCCTTCAAAATTTGCGCCTCAAACGGGTCCACTTGGCTTTTGGCGCGCAAAACTAGATCGCAAATTCACCTTTTTGCAACAACAATTCTAGCTCAAAAAGTGCTCAAAAAATTTGCTTTTCTGCGAATACAGCGCCAAAAAGTAGGGTCGCGTAGAGAGTCGATTTGGCAAGGTTTTACCTAAAAATCTGAAAAGATTTTTGCACGGAAATGTAGCCCAAAATGACTACTATTTTTGTAACAGTTATCAAGCCAAAATAAATTCATTAATCTGTTTGAATTCGTACCTATTCCTTGGCAAAAAAAGTTTGCTTTCTCAAAATTACCGATCTTAGGCTCCTACCAGAGTGCCGAAGTTATGCCAGCGCTACGCCAGCATTTCGATCGATACACGTCTATTTCGTTGGGGACGTCAGCTAGCACCGCCCCAACGAAATACACGTGTATCGATCGAAATGCTGGCGCAGCGCTGGCATAACTTCGGCACTCTGGCGGGAGCCTTACATGGAGATGCTTCAAGAATGAACAGTTGTTTACGATTCATTTATGATGTACAGTATACTTTGGACCGAATCGAATAAATATTCGAGTATTCGAATAAAGTATTCGAATAAATTTTATTCCAAATTCGATTATTCGAAAATCTAGAAATCTCGAATATATTCGACTAGCGACCCTACGGGTCGCTAGCAAGTGGGTCGGGGCAGATACAATATAAGGGCTTAGTTGTGACTATAAATACTTCTTAAGTTTCCTATTCCTTTCCTGAGAACTTTTTTGCGAAAAGCATTAAAAGGAGAACTGCTCGAAGAAGAGATAATCTCCACAAATCGTTCAGCATTTCTCGAAATTCCTGCTACAACAATGCATGGAGAATATTATTTTCCTCTCGTTTACCACGCTCTTTCTGCAAATTTCCTCTCCTCTCAGAGACATTCAGATATCCTCCCCCACTTTTCTACCCTCTCAAAGAGAATTTGCTCTTCCAGTTCTTCTCAACAAATTCCATAAAAGATCGTTGAGTAAGTAGCAGAACACCTACACTTTTGTAGAAATACACCCATAACAACTATGTGTACTATGATAAACACTTTTCTCTCAGAATCAATGACCCAGTTCTTCTCAACAAATTCCATAAAAGATCGTTGAGTAAGTAGCAGAACACCTACACTTTTGTAGAAATACACCCATAACAACTATGTGTACTATGATAAACACTTTTCTCTCAGAATCAATGACAGCTACGAAATCAACCGTGCAAGAACTTTTTCAGAGAATCCCTCAATTTTTTCGCCAAAGAAATATGAAGTTTTATTACAAAAGGAGATCAGTCCCCGAAAAGCACACTACTGAGCCACCTAATGACCGTCAATTAACATACAAAAAATTTGTTTCCCTGCCCGATCGAGTTGCCCTACATGCCGGTTATAGACAGATAGTAACTATTCAAAAAAGAAAATTTGCCCTATGTGCCGCTTGAAGACCGTTTGAAAATTGTAAGAACTGCCCCAAACGTACAAAAATTTATTTCCCTGCCCGATCGAGTTGCCCTACGTGCCGCTTACAGACCGATAGTAAGTATTCAGAAAGAACGTTTATGCCCTATGTGCCGCTTGAAGACCGTTCAAAAATTACAAGAACTGCCCCAAACGTACGAAAATTCATTTCCCTGCCCGATCGAGTTGCCCTACGTGCCGCCTACAGATCAATAGTAAGTATTCAAAAAAGAAATTTTGCCCTATATCCCGCTTGAAGACCGTTTGAAAATTGTAAGAACTGCCCCAAACACACAAGAATCTGTTTCCCTGCCCGATCGAGTTGCCCTACGTGCCGCTTACAGACCGATAGTAACTATTCAAAAAGAACGTTTATGCCCTATGTGCCACTTGAAGACCGTTCAAAAATGACAAGAACTGCCCCAAACGTACAAAAACTTATTTCCCTGCCCGATCGAGTTGCCCTACGCGCCGCTTACAGACCGATAGTAACTATTCAAAAAAGAAAATTTGCCCTATGTGCCGCTTGAAGACCGTGTATATAAGAAAAACCAACTACAACTCCTACAAAAAAAACAACAAATTCAAGTATTTACAGCGTATTCTCAAATTGCTGTACATGTCACTTTAGGACTTTCAAGTCTGAAAAATGCCCTACACAGAAATCTGTTTCCCTGCCCGATCGAATTGCCCTAGGTGCCGCTTACACACCGATACCTAGTTCAAGCACCAGCGGGACCCAGTTACACAAGCAAAGCAAGGTTGTTGTTAAATAAACGCTTTCAAAAGTACCAGCGAGGCCAAGTTACTCACGCCTCTCTTGTCTACACGCGGAAGCAAAATAATTCTAAAGTGACTGTTCTTAGTTGGAGCATTTTTACCAAGAGTTGAGAATATAAGAATTCAGCTCAAGTCAAGCTGTTCGCAATTTGGCATCATTTCAAAGGTACCTAACAGGAATACAACATATTTGAAAGACACAATTTAGGATAACAAGCTCGAAAAAAGCAGGTATAACAATCCGGACACTGGCGACCCAGTCTCTCATTGCGACACTCATGATTGCTTTTCGAAATACGTGTAACCCTTTTACGAAAATACGCTTAGTCACTCGTTATGAAATTTGGCAGCGTTCCAAAACGCATGCCACTTGGCAGCAATCCAATTCCAAAGATCAGTGTATTTCATCATAACTTTTACGTCTGCGCCCTCCTCGTTTGCCATGATCCAACTATCAGCGGCTTAATGGGTAAACAACGAATTCGTTATATATTACGTAGTGATACTAGCTGGCTTACCCGGCTCCGCCGTATGTTCCGAATAGAAAATTCCATTTCTAAACCGATCGGGACCAAACTTGGCACACATACACTTCCGGCCCCGGCGGGTGTCACAGTCCACTTTTCGTTATCGATCGATGTCGATTTTATCGATTTTTTGCAAAATTTGAGCTAGGGGGCTGGGAGTTGGCACAGGGGGGGGGGGGGTAATCGAGCATGCTGATCACCCTTGTGGGGGTGATCAGCATGCTCAAAGTATTTATAATGCACAGCCTCGCGCGGTGAGTTTCAACGATCATTTTGGGAGCATGAATAAGACATACGGATAGCAGAGCCAGTGAGAACCTCCGCGATGCGGAGGTGACCCACTGGTATGAAAATAATCCAAAAGTGTGTGCCATTTTTTGCTTATCCCTTGATCCCTCGAATAAAGATAGGAGAACACATCGAACATTTTTCAAAGAATTTCTTCCGCCTTCGAAAAATTATGGTTTCAAAGTGGCTCTTTGGACGGACGCTAAAATAATCCCCAAAGCTTCAACTTTTCTTATCTAGATTCAACTAATATTCTGAAAATTTATCTTACAGTTCTGACAGGGACCAAAAAAATAGATAACCTTTTTTGATATGATATTTTGCATTTCTCCAGCTAACTTTTCAAGATTCACACGATTCTTAGAGCCAAATTCCACAGTCAAGGAAATAACTTAATAGTACATCAATCGACAAGCACGTCGGGCATCGTTAGATGCAGTTTCTCCTTTTTCTAACAATTGCTTTTTTCCGGTTTGAAGGATCTTCGATGATAAAACCAACTATTTGTTTTTGAAAGCGCCCCATTTTTCAAAATGCAATGGAAAACTCAATTTTTTGTTTCAAAGCGTTAAAGGCTCACTTGCCCTGTGAGATTAGGTTGACGTAATCATTTCGAACTTTAAATTTTGAAGATGTTTTGGTGTTTGATGCATTTATGCATTTCAAAACTTTGCAAGAGTGAAAAGTTGCGAGAAGATTATTAAATAATGGGAAGCCAGTCGGAGAAGCAGAAAAGGATATACAGCATTTTGTTCGTTTTACTTGACTGCTATCGAATCTTTTCCAAGAATCTTATATATAAAGCTGAATGTCTGTTTGTATGTATGTCTGTATGTATGTCTGTATGTCTGTATGTACGTATGTTCCGAATAGAAATTTTTATTTCTGAACCGATCCGGACCAAACTTGGCACACATACACTTCGGGCCCCGGCGGGTGTCACAGTCCACCGGAATCCCCATGCTGCTCACTTACACCCCTCTGCCAGATTCCAGCCCCCTAGCTCAAATTTTGCAAAAAATCGATAAAACCGACATCGATCGATAACGAAAAGTGGACCATGACACCCTCCGGGGCCCGAAGTGTATGTGTGCCAAGTTTGGTCCGGATCGGTTAAGAAATAGAATTTTCTATTCGGAACATACGGCGGAGCCGGGTAAGCCAGCTAGTTTGAAATAAAATTTCAAAAAATCTGACAGTTGGACACGAGTGAGCATGGCAACTTGACAACACGAGCGACTACAAAGCAAATATGATAGGAGACCGGTAAAAAGAAAAGAGGAATCTCAGTCAAATAACGTGTGAAACTTTCGCATATCTTTATTCCAAATTTTTATGATAGGCCGAAAAAGGGCACCTATAAGGCTGCCAAACATCTGATGCACTATCAGGTTGTCCGGAAATTAATGCCCGTTTTGAATTTCAACCGCAATAAGTCATACACTCTTCATTTCTAAATATATTGCAAAGTACCATTCGATAGAGCAAAGCAAGCTCTACAAGATGGCCATCTTGCTTTTGCAACAGCTCTCATCCTTCTCGAGTTTCGAGCCAAAAACTAAAAATACTCAGCAGTCCGAAAAATCGAAAAAAATCGTAACTCAGTTCATAAAAAACCTACAAAAATTCTAACTTGTTCACGCAAACACTATCCACATAAGACATCAATATACGCCGTTGCCGTATTTTTTTCTCTGTTAGAAACCAAGAAAACGGAAATTTTCATGCATTTGCCAAAGTGATGCTGTGCCGTCCCCACATAGGTAGTTGTATACCACAAGCCTATAGAAGTACAGACTTGAATTTCCAGCTCTCTACAAGCTTTAGTTCTCGAGAAATACCGAATATAGCTTTTCCTAGTTAGGTGGTCCAAGCAAAAATTCAAATTTTTCGAGAACTAAAGCTTGTAGAGAGCTGAAAATTTAAGTCTGTGTTTCTACAGGCTTGTGGTATACAATTACCTATGTGGGGACGGCACAGCATCACTTTGGCAAATGCATGAAAATTTCCGTTTTCTTGGTTTCTAACAGAGAAAAAAATACGGCAACGGCGTATATTGATGTCTTATGTGGATAGTGTTTGCGTGAACAAGTTAGAATTTTTGTAGGTTTTTTATGAACTGAGTTACGGTTTTTTTCGATTTTTCGGGCTGCTGAGTCTTTTTAGTTTTTGGCTCAAAACTCGAGATGGATGAGAGCTGTTGCAAAAGCAAGATGGCCATCTTGTAGAGCTTGCTTTGCTCTATCGAATGGTGCTTTGCAATATATTTAGAAATGAAGAGTGTATGACTTATTGCGGTTGAAATTCAAAACGGGCATTAATTTCCGGACAACCTAATAAAAACCGAAGTTGTCGTTATCGTGAGATTCAATAACTCTTTCTAACAAGGGAAGGACCGTTGGTCAAAGTGAGATTTCCACATGTGGTGCCTATCATTTTATGGTTACTGAATCCGTACTCCATAGCTGCTCAATGGTCCTTCGCAGAAATTGAGCAATCGATATTCAAGATGACCATCGCTCATACTATGTTAGCGCCGAGTATTGCACAGTTATGGATTTTCGTATACCCTTAAAGGCTCCGAGCGCCCCTAACAACTTTTCGGTACGTTGAAACAATTGCAAACTTTCTCAAAACGTTTTTGTATTTTGAAGTTGAGTATCTATGAACATGTGTGGTAGTATGTAACAATGTTCAGAACGTAAAACTTCTCAAAAAGAGCACGTTCTGATGAAATAACATCCGGTTACAGTTCCAAATTCACAAATTCCCCAGTAAACTGGATAAAGAATAGTACTGAATGGAATTTCAAATTTTTTGGAATGAGTGCCAAGGCAATCTTATTGTTCTTGCCAATGTAAATTTGTGAAAGTATTCTCTTGATTCACCAGATATGCCCAAACAAGATCCTGTAGAGTTTTCTCATTTCTTTCGAGATTTTGGTGTAAACAATTTACCAAGGCCGCTGTTTGGCTTTTGGAGCCTCTAGGGATATATAGGTCATCCGTGAATTCGTGACGACGGATTTGACTGCGACCTTTGCGCCCGCAGGAACAGAAAATACTCATACAAAGAAGCCTCGCCTCAGTTCTCAGCTCAGTCACTTCCAACGACTTTATACTATCATACACAAGCAGAAAACCATTAGAGTATAAAAAACGAAAGAAATGGATTTGTAATGCTGGCGATTAGTCGTGTTGGAAACCACGACTAGTTGTGATAGAAAACTATCGAACGGAAATGCAAGAAGATCGGCATGCAATGATATTGTTATAATTGTCTCGCGATCAATCGCGATGATCAAATCGCGTGAACTCTGCACGAGGCCTATCGCATGGCATTCTTCTGACCCATACTCCCTAGGCGTGGTTGGAAAACATAATGATTAAACCAGCGGTTCTCGCCGTACTGACTTTGTTTTTCATTTCAATACTTAAGGAGTTTAGCATCACAGCATCACTTCTGCTTGGGAAAATGAGTGAAAATGTGAAAGACCATCATTTTCGTCTTCTGGTAGCTTCCATACCTGCGATAGTTGTTGCACAGTAATAATTTTTTAGCAAGAATTTGTTCCTCTCAAGAGAGCAATAGTTGATGCTGTTACCTTTTCTTGGCGCCATTTTTCCGGAAATAAGCTGCTGAAAGCTGTTTTTGTTGAGGTCCTTCACATGTTTCCAAATCAACTGAATCTATTTTTGTGAAAAGTTTGAAAGGATTTCATTCCACATGGCAAAAGTTTTTGCGTAAGCTCGGCATGTGACTTTAATGAACCACGCATCGCTCACGCTGTGCTTTCACTGTGCATGCCGAACTGCATGCTGATAGCGTATGTAAGGCAGCAATGACTACAGGACTTGGCTGTCCGTGTCATCGTAACACCCAGACTTCCACACAGGCAAAAACAGTTTACTATACCGAGGAATTTTCACACCATATTTTCTCATGCCTAATCTTGCAGTCTTTTTCAGGCGATAAGGTTTAAACGTTTAACTTACCTTCTCCTCAGTAATAACAGTCTGGCCTCTGTGAAAGAAACAATAATTCGCAAAAGCTGCCTGTATTGCGAACAGCGTTAGAATGCGAACAAGCCCTGCAACAAAAGTGTAATAATCTCAAAAACTTTCCTTTCTATTTTCCTTTTCAGCCAAACAACTTGAATATTAGGTATTTCCAAATGTTCGCTCTTTTTTTCCTCTAGCATAAAAAAGCCTGGGATGAAGTTATGCAAACATTGTCGCCTCTACGATTCTGTTCGCAAGAGACTATGACAAAGATTGACCTTTTAGTTGAAATATTGGAGGCCCGGTAAGGTAGGATTCGGTGGCACCTCGCACAAAAGCAGGCTACGCAGTCACTTTTCAAGACCACTCGTTTCTATGAATACTGAGATGACCGCAGAAGTTTTGAACCCATGGTCTTTACCATGCCCAAGTATGGCAAATTTTCACATCTTTTACCAGCTTCAGGAGGATTTACATAACAGCTGAATAAAGCAAACAAAGTGCTACTTGAAATCTTTTTGGCTTCAGCCCTTTCAAAATTAGCAAATATATTTTTCTGAAGTCAACATGCTTCCTAACTGGTTAAGCCAAACCTCGTAGAACATCAACCGGCAAGCAACACGGGCACTGTTCGATGCATTCTTTGCTTCCCGATTTGTGGAACTTTCGATGAAAACACTCAAGTGATGAATTTCTGGACGCGCCTTTGACTGTACGCGAAATTTCAAAATTATGCCTTTAAGCGAAAAAAGCTTGTTTGCTTTGAAAAATTAGTTTCAAATAACAAATGAAACGGAATTCCAAATTCCGAGATATCTCAAAGTTTGATGCGTTGGTGCATCGTACAACTTTGCAAAATGAAGACGTTTGGAAAAGTCTTAGACAGTCTAAAACAACAGTTTGAAACATCTCAAAATTACATAAAAATTACTAAAAGGCTAGCCTGATGTATTCTAAATTTCGTGTATTGCATTTTGTTTACTCTATCCACGTGTTATCACAGCTTTTCCAGAAGTGGTAACCAAAAGTTTCAGAGCCGAACTTGAATGTGGCAAAAATCATGGGTTAAAAATCTTGTATAATATTGGGTCGTTCCAAAAGTAATGTCGCTTTTTTCAAGTGCACTCCACATTTCATGGAATCAAGATTTTTAAGAGATTTTAGGAGCATTCGATGCAGCATTTTATCGCCTTTCTAGTGGTTGTAATTTCGTTGCATAATTTTCAGTGATATCTCGAAAAATTAACAAAATCTGCGACTCATGCTTTTGCCATAGTCAAGTTCGGCTATTTTTCTAAATTTTTGTACCTATTCTCCGGAGAGGTACAAGCGACTGTAGATAGAGCAAATCCTATAGGACACAGAAAAATTCTTTTTCCTTAGCTTGCTTTTAAGAGTTTCTGGAATCAATTTTTCAATGATATCAAATACCATATTTGGTCAACCTAAACCTCACAGAACAACAACAGGCAAGCAACTCGGGTGTCATTCGACGCAGCTTTTTCTCCTTTTTTTACAGTTGTTTTTTGCTTCTGATTCATCAAGTTTTTCGGAACAAAATCATCATAATTCAGTTTTCCAACGCACTTCAGGTTGTACCCGGAATTTTCGGAAGTTGCTAATCTGAAGCAGTGAATGCTCATTTGGTTTGTAAATTAGTGTCAAGCCATAATCTATCTTTGTAAGTTGCAAAAGCCAAAGATTTATTGGTGTTTGATGTATTTGTTTCTAAGACGAGCCTGCTAATATTCACTAGTTCCATCAAAAAATCTATACAAAATTTATGACAAGCTCTAAAGAGTAGAAGAAAGTTGTGCTGTTTCCCCTAGGGTTTGCTCTACCCATCCATTACTTGGACTCCTTCCGAGGGTTGTTATAAAAATTTAGAAAAATTGTGAAACTTGGCCTTCTCAAAAAGCATTGGTCGCAGATTTCGATGAATTTTCGAGAGGTTATCAAGTTTTATGCAGTATTTTTATAACCATTAGAAAGAGAATGAAATGCTGCATCAAATGCTTCCAGAATCTCTTACATATCTTTGCTCTACGAGAGCGCTTAGGCCCATATGTAAGTACATCCCCGCTGGGGAGGGGAGGGGATCTAAGAGGGGATGCGTCATATCTCGCTACTCTAGCCTTTTTTCTTTGAAAATCTTACTCATCGTTCCTGCGATGATTTTCTAGCATGCATAGAATAGCCAAAGATGTGAAGATTGTAACGCAATTTACTGCAATCGCAAATGTCAAATCCGAATAGAGTTATGCCTATTCAAACTCGAAGTTCGAAAACGGGTAGAACTTCTGAAACAACCCAATACATGCTTAATTAGTAGCCTCTTCGATTATGACTTAGCGTGGCGCAAAATCACAGATGTCGAGACGCAGAGTAATTAGATGGTCCGACAGTCTCCACGCCAACTGGGCGGTGCCCGGAATCTCCAGATGAGCTGGCACTCCCCGGGTGCTCGGTGGTCCCCTCCCCAATTATGTCCCCCATTTTATATATATGCTATAATGATAAAATCATCTAGTCAAGAACTCTTCTGTTAAGATGTAATACAACAGGGTAGAGGGATCAAGTCCCGAGAGTAATTAACTCGTTAAACTTGACATGGAGGTCCCGGGTTTGTTTGAACTCATTCTAACACAATTTTTCTTGATGGGAAAAATATTAAAAAGCTAGATTCTGCAGATCTTAGCTTAATTCCACCGCCGGCACCAGCCCTCATCTCCTACGTCTCTACGTAGCTATTTTTCTCCTATTTTTTTTCTCTTATCTCATTTTCTTATTTATCCCTCGTTTTTTTTGAGTCAGGCGATGAGTCTGAGTTTTGTATACATACAATAATCCATCTACTGATATTTATCATTTTCTTTCTTGCTATTTCCGCGAGCCGTGATCCCCCGAGCCGTGAAAAAAGCGAACCGTGATTTTTTCCGACGCGATCTTTCTAGACGAGTTTAACTCTCTAGATTGAGAATCCGCGAGCCGTGAATTCCGCGAGCCGTGATTTCCTAGAGCCGTGATATCCCGGAGCCGTGAATCATTGATATTTTTCTTTATTATTTTCCTTTCTTTTCAACTGGGAATATTCTCCCACAGATTTTTCTTACGCGCACATACAAAACTCAATGACTCTATCGCCACAGCCGGCATTGTACATATGTAAATAGGTTTTCACACGTGGAAAAAGCACTGTGAGCCAAATTTTTTTTTGCCTTTATAACTGTCACATGTGGAAAAAGCACTGTGATAGTATTTTTTTGACTCTCGCAAGTGGAAAAAGCACTGTGAGCCCCACCAAATCAAGTTTTCACATGTAGAAAAAGTACTGTGAGTAACTTTTGCCTGAAAGGACTTTCACTGGCCGTTTTTATGATTGCCTGTGGAATACCTAACGGCTACCCAATCGCCCGCGGTCACTCTAAAGGGTACTCTCCCAGCGCTTATTTTCTTGATGGCTAATCACTCAACTAAGAGTGACATTTAGCCGCCAGAAGTGAGCACATGCTGCGGCAATGCCTTTGAACCTTGTAGTCCATCGACGAACGTCTGGGCTACAGGTCAACTTCGCGTGATTGTGCATATATAAGCACATCACGGGCCGCGGACGATATCCATTCGTCGACACGAGGAGTGGAGAAGATATTCTGCTGACCTGAGGATTTGCCAACGAGCAACCAAGGACACGGAGCCAACTATCAACCACTACTATCGACCACTACAAGCTAGAAAGAAGAAAGAAAGTATTTTGCTGACCTGAGGACTATCAACTTCAAGTTAGAGGTACTCTCTTAGCTTGATTTTCTTTTTCTTGTTTCATTTAGTCACTTTTCTTAGTATTTTCCTTTGTATTTCCCATACTCTTGTATCTCATCCTCATTTCTTAAAAAAAAACCAAACAAAAAAATGCATTCGGTAAATTTTCTGTTTCTTATCGCGATAACTGCGCTAATTATGCCTACTTCCTCCGCATTCTCAATGGACTATCAATTATGTTCATCTGGTAAATCAGGATGGCCTATAGCCTATCCTGAAACTATTTCTTGCGCGAAACCAACCAACTTAACTAACGTATTGTTAACAATGGCTTCTGTTTTTGTAGAAAAAACAGAATCAACTACGCTAAGTGCATTTCATTGTTTCAATAAAACAAGGAAAATTTGCGCGTCATCTTATCTACACATTTCTTTCTCGCTAAACAGCGATGAGGAATTTATGTCTCCCATCGACCCAATTCTCTGCCATAATATTGCAAAGTCTAAAAAGTACCTTGGTGAACCGTTACACATATTTTCGCCTAAAGTATTCGGTTCGCAGCGTCCTATTCATTATTCTTATCCCTGGTTCTTTGGTCAAAAGTGCACAGTCACCACAAATATTTATGTAGAAGAAGGCGAAATTGCCACTTTTGATGGTGATCAATTGCTAGGACAGTTTGGCGACATGGCAAATTGCACACTTAGCCATGACTACTGTCAACTGTCGCATGGTACCGTAGTTTGGAAGTCAAAAGACGCTCAAGTTGCTTGTAAATTTGTAAAAGCTATTGACAGTATCGCGTATGTCACACAAAGTCACATTCTTCTTGAAGCAATACAGTCCGCATTCACATACAAGAGCGTTTTCTTTCAAAAATCACAACTTACAAAGTGGTGTTTGTCTGAAAACGCTATTCCAATGGACAATGGCGTATTCATATTGCTTCCAGAACTTTTGGGAGAAGATCCTCGCACAATTTTTGATAGTAACATAACTCTAGTGCGAGAAATCAATGAAAAACACTTCAACTTCTCCAAAAGCTTTCCAATTTACGATGTAGACACTACCTACACTCATAAAATTCGCAGTCCTTATGCATCACATGGCAATACTTTTTCAACTTCTAGCAATGCCACTATTCTTTCATCAATACTTTTGAAATCAAAACCGCTTCAAATCAACCAAGTAAAACCGCTGATCAGAGGAAAACGATCTAGCGATAACTCAAAACCCGCGCACAGGACAATTAACATTTCTGCTATAGTCGCAGAGCATATTGCATTGAATTCACCTCCAATATTCTCAGCGCAGCCGTCTGAATTGAATA